GAACCAGCCTGCAAGGGAGTCGATTAATGAAACCTGAGGGAGATACTGTTAGACAAAAACAGGTTAACAAGGCAGCGACCTTGATAGTCTAGCTCTGTGGGTTAACATAGCTGTTCGTGACAGCGTTCTCATCATCTTCCATCACATGGCATCACGTTTTAGTTTCTTAACTACAGAGATCTGGGGAAGCAGTTCAAGAAACCCTGTGGCCCTGAGATGAGAACCTTGTTATGTTCCCGTACAAACCCAGAAGATATTACTGAGGCCAGGAGAAAGGCTGGAAAAGATTACTACAGATGAGGAAAAGCTATATAAGTTACATCTGGAGAGATCCAAAACATCCTGTGTGTCATCAGTGTCTCTGGTTCTGCTCCAAGAAAAGGATTTCTAACGGGCACAATGGCAGAGGACACTCGACTTATAGCCAGGGAGCTGTTACTAGGCGTCAACTTCATCTTCCAGCTGGGACTGTAAAAAAAATTCCTTTTAGCCACAAATTTAGCAGAAGGATTTTCAGTGTCATATCAGGAAACTATCAAACATTAAAAAAAAAAAAAGGAAAAATGACAATTGCCATGCAATGCCTTTACTTACATCCATTGTTTTAAAACAGCAGTCACACTGAAAGAAGAATCTCCTTTATTTTTCTTGCTTGAAGTAACAAAGCAAGAAAAATTCAAAGCCTGCCAAATGCTTATACTTGTGAGCAACTTTAATCCTGCGAGTAGTTCTACTGAAGAAAACAGAACTACTCATGGCAGTAAGTACCTGTCACTCTTTCAGCACTAAGTGATAGACACAGGAAGCGATTTCCTGTTCAGGAATCAGCTGACATCTCATGCACCTAACAGACTTTTTAAGTGGGAGCAAAGAGCTACTCAAGACACAGAGTAATCACAGAGAAAGCAAGAGAGAAGTTTATTTTCCTTGTCCCTGATTATTTTTGCAGCAATAATCATCATTGTTATTACTACAACAGATAAAAAAGTCTTGAGGCAGAAACGCGTTTTAAGGGATGCCCCTTTAAGACAGATCAAAAATGGACAATTTAAATACATGTTGCATATATTTTTTCAGTCTTAAAATGACCAGGTAAAACTGCAAGAACTGATTTTGAAAGGAAGTCTTGATTCCTCTCCCATAACCTCATGCAAACATTTCAACAACTGCCTGGTGCTTGATAGTACATGGCTTGCACCATATGGTCTCACCACAGAAATAAGCTTGAGGCTTTGGCTCTGCAGTTACATGTACGTGGAAATGTCAAAGATGAAGTCTGAAGAACTGAATTGCCTTTGAACAGAACCAAATGGTTGAAGGCACACCACAGCCTGGGTTTATTTAAGGGCTTGAAGTTTATTGGGAAACGTTAAGTGTTTGCTTTCGTAATACTTCTTAATGTTCTTTATTCAAGTTTCCCCAAAGACAGAAATCTCATGCTTTGATACAATAGAAATTTTTTTAAATTAGTGTGTCTGTGCACAACTGTCAATTGTAGCCCAGTTCAATGGGTGCCAGAACAGATATGCCACTACAAAATCCAACTGGAGACTGTAAAAACACTGCTCTGTCAACGAGGGAGGCACAGGTTTGGCCTTGGGTAACTGATACCATCCATTTTCTCCTGCAATAGCTTACTCCTATGTCTGATTCGTAAGACTCCTTTGAAATCACATTTCCAGCCTTCTTGTGTTATTCTGTACACTCAACAATTTACAGGAGAGAAAAATCTGCCTTGTTCAAAGTTGCTTTCCAGATGTAAAGGACCAATTTCCCACATTAGCCTACATTGTTCAAAAAACAAATGTTAGATTTCCATTTCTCATTGAAAAATAATCTTCGGTGAAAAAAATCACATCTTTGGTGTGGTTAGTGCCATAAAACTAAATTAAGATAACAGGGTTCTCAGAATCAGGAAAGCTTCACATTCTTCTGACAGATCCTGATTTGAATTCAGAATGTGGCTTCACACAGGAAAATTATACTTGCAGTTTTCTTTGTAAACACTCTCAGCTCTATTGTAATAACTGTGGTAATGGGGACTGAATGCAGAAAATACATTTTATAATTTCTTATTCACCCAACTGCTAAAACACCAAATGATCTACATGACATATGCACATGTTGGAGTTGCTTCATTTGTTATAAAGTATGAGTTCTCAAGAGGAACAGCTTTAGATGATCTGCACTGCTGAATCCCAAAAATGCAATCTGCTTCGTTCTTATTTAAGAAGTACATCGTAGAATACACATGTGAATTATTTGTAAATATGACTGACTGACTTTTTTTTTATTTTTAGCACATTTGGGCTGTGTCTTGTGGCAAGCTTATGCATCGGTGATGTGCAATATTGAAGTCATTAAAACAGCATCTGAAGTTTTTTTCATGAACACAAGCCAAACTCAATATTCCACCAGTTAAATAATGCATTTCATAATTATAGCAAATATTTAATTTTCAAACAAATATCCTTTTGCTCTCTCAGAATCAACAGCAGCAGTTAACATGATGGTTCACAATTAATAAGGACCCAGGAGAAAACCTCACACAATTGGTATTTTTCATCTTCCTATTTATGGAATTTCATCAATTATTCATGTAATATTTACTACTGGGAGTGGTGAATATGACAATCATCCTTGCTGGAGAACCAGTCAGTTCTCTTTAAAATGTTGCAAGCAGCATAATTCAATTCTAAAACTGTTATACAGAGATTAAGGGACATTTTTAGGACCGGAATGTTCTGCATGAAACTATTGTTTTCAATTAACTGAACCACAATTTTCCTAATTGATCAACCCCCACACTGCTCTTCAGAAGCCTAGACTCACAGCCACAGTGTGAATCACCCCGCAATTCCCAAGAGACACCAAATCTTACTGAAACCTCTCTCTGATGCAGTAGTTACCTAGCAGCAAAACCTAGCAACCCTGTAGTATGAGATTAATCCCAGAGTGATCGTCATAAAGTAACATCTAAAAGACATTTTATTTAAGTATGCCATCCAAAGGTACATAAAAACGCTACACAAAAACGCTCAGGCTTCTAACTGTTCAGCTATACAAATTAGAAACGACTACCCAACAGCAGGACAAGCTATTTATCTGTTGTTTAGTGAGGTCTCATTTGCTCAGGTCTCCCAACAAAGAACCCAAACCTAGAAAGAGATGTGCAAAATATTTAGATGTTACCAACATAATCAAAACCCTTCCTTATCTACAATTTAATGTTCAAGTGATGAAATCCCTTAGTCCCCACAGCTAGCGCGGGTAAGTGCAGAATTCCTCAGGTAGAGGTTTTGCTCAGCTTCTTGGAACCAAAGTCCTTGCAGGGTACTCAAACTAACGCTTTCTCCCCTTTCCCTTCTACAACATAGCAAGCACTTTCAGATCACCTTAGTGTGACCAGGACAGGCACAAAAGACAGCCAGACATAAGTCCTCTTTCTCCTGAGCTGTCCATCTGCATCTTATCCAACAATATAGCGTGAACGATTGTCACCTGAAAGGAAGGGGATTACTCTCAAGGACTGGTACTATGGTGCCAGGAGAAGAGAGAGAGAACATTAGTCAGAATGTAGCACTTTCCCTGAGGGATGGGATGTCCTTGCTCCAAATCAAGAAACAGAAAAACTGAACTAGGTTTCTTACCTCCTTAGTAAATCCCTGCCACACCCCGTAACATCTCTTAATAGCTATCTGGGGTGGTTCCCCACACTGCTTCACTATATAGCTGTATAGATGGAAGACTCCATCAAGTGACCTGCACTTGAGACATTGTCCTGGTAACGCTCTGCAAAGTTCCTTTGCCAATGTAGCCTAAAGTATCTAACCCCTCCTTGAGCCTTCACCTTTGTTTGTTCAGCCCGCTGTGATTCTACAGAGAGCTGTATATACACTTCTGAAGGTACGTCTGGGCCTGGGCAGCTTTTGGAGCCACTGGTGGGGCACAGCTCCTGCATTCTATTCTTCGAATTACAGAACTAGAATCTCTGGGTGTGCCCTAAAACTCCTATCATGCAAACAGAGATCAGAAGCGTGCAATAGAAAGGGAATCCACATCTCTACTGAAACCCTGTCATTTTCCCTCATACTAAACTTTAGGCTTTCCAAACGTATTTGTACTCACGCACTGAACAGTGTGGTTGCCTACTGTGTAAAAATGCTTTGACATCCTTGGGTAAGATGCCAAATTAACAGCACTGAAAAGCTGTAGTCTTCCTCCGTTAAGAGAACAGGTAGGAAAGCACGAGCTTAAGTGTCAACTTTCCTGCTTTGCTTTAGTTACACAGAGCAAGAAAACTTGTCCTCCAGCGAGAAGGGCGAAAGGTAGTTCAATCCTTGCACCAGCGAAGCTCTCAGCTTTCCTCTGGGACCACTAAAGGGAGTAATAGGGCTATGGACACTAAAGAGTAAATGTAAGTCAGATCTTGCTGAACTGCCATCTGCCAGTAACAGTCGCCACCGAGCTGTAAAATACAACTGGACCAGGAAAACTGATAGCAAAGAGCTCTGGTATACATTCCCGAGCTGCCAAGTCATACGTTTAACTAGAAAAGAATGCATAATGGACTATGACAGTGCTTTTAAGAGAACGGTTTGGCCACGGTGAAAAATAGTAAGACAAAAAGCAAACAAGTATTCTTGTGGTTCTTGTCCTTCAACACTAAGAGGAGCTTTATCCAAGCCATGAGCGCTACCTGTGTGCAGCCCACATAGATCTCGGCCAGCCACGTTTTGAAACCCACGTGCTGACAGAAGTGCCTTCTGAATTCATCTGCCAGTGAGAGATTACAAGCAATAACGCTGCAAGATTTGCTTTTGCTTCTAATTGCTAAATACTGAACTACTATAACATTGAATTTATTTTTCTCATGCCTGGCTATACCCACAACAGTCACTCTGTTAGTTATGGCCAGTTTTGACTACGATCAGCAACTGATTTTAAACACTTTTGTGAGCACAATTGAGTCATTAACATCTTCAGATAGCACTGCTTACCTTAAATCTTTCCGAAACCCCTTCGGTGATGCTGATTGTGAATTCAGCTATTTTAGGAGTACGGAATTTTCCCTTCTTGCGGTCAGGTTCATATTCTGTTTTCGTTTTGACCACAACCTTTGAAAAGAAATTATAAAACTCAAAAAGCTGTCATCTGAAACTAGCCATAGGAATCTTATTTATTCATTAACTCTTCTTTTACCTGCTTACAAGCACATCTAGCACAGTATTTTTTTCCCCCCTCACTTTGTGTAATTCTTCTTTGAAAGCTGTAAGTTGTTAGTTATTTTTCCTGTCATAGCAATCATCAACAAAATTATCTCTCAAAGTAGTTCTGATGGACCTACAGGAAGACTTGTTTAGCAACAGTTTTACAAGCGTTCAGTTTTTTCAGCTATGGTGATACAGTGCTGCTATACTAGGCAAGCACCTACTTAGTTCAAACCCAATCCATGAAGCTTCCCACTTTGTATAGTTTGAAAATAGCCACCTCCATTTGCTTCAGGAGATCCCATTAATGGGATTTCAAAATGGAGACCAACAGGATGAGATAATTATTGAAGGATGTGCATAGAAATCTAGCAGATGATCATGCTGCCAGTAGCCATGTTCTCTGATGGCAGAACTTCTGAGTTGAAAAGGAATGAAACGACCCATCTAGTTGCTATTCACTATGTGCTAGACTATAGCTCTTGAGACTCTTATTTTTAACATCTAACTTTTGAATTATCAGCTGCAAGCAGCAAGATGCAAACAAACTCTTTCGTTAATGAGATTTCTCAAAACACCCACAGCTCTTTAACTTCAGTTTATTCCTTACCATGAGCTATTGCCCCAAGCTACACAATTTAGCACCTTACCTGTATTCCTAAAATATTCATTACAGCAGTCGTATCTCTAGCGCGCTCCTAGGCATTCTAATTCTAAAAAATTTTCACAAACTCAACTATTTGCCTCATTTTTGTCTTCTACAATTTTCCAGGATCCTTTTCAAAGCATCACTCTCAAGGCAGGGTGCATTCTATCATATTGACAGTGCTATTAAGATTTGCTCACTTTTCTCTGTTGTTCCAAAGCATAAATATATAGACTCTTTTAGAGTTTTAGAACCAGAGTCTATCTTTAGACCAGCCCGTGGTATCAAAAGCAACTACATTATTCTGAAATTAAGGCAGTGACACTTGCAAGTAGCCAGGTACAGAAACTAAAGCTTTGGGTTCCCCTCTCCTCACTTCCCTGAAATGGTATCTAGAATATGTAACTGTACCTGGACTCAGTACCACAAATCTTATTAGATGCTTTTACAGCATTACACACATATGTGCAGGGCATAGGTAGTTTCTAAACCTAATTCAGCTATAATTAATGAAGATCACAATTATAACTATACAACTTTACAATTCCTCAACAGCATCATGGAAGTTAACCGTCTGAAGATTTCTGGAATGGTTTTTAACATTTTACTTCCCTCCCTCTCCCTTTATGTTGCATAATCTCGGGCAACTCAAATCACATTCAGCTGACACTGAATTTACAGTTCTATCTACTTGGTTATGTAACGTCTTCTTTTGTTTAACATACCTAAACATGAATTTCATCCCTTTAATTTAGAAGCTGTCAAAATCATCAAATTCTTAGTGCTGTAGTCACTACTGTTCAAGGAGTTATGCTTCACTGCCATACTGGAGCCTTGTAAGTGAATAATAAGCACAGATATATGAAGTATGTACTCCTATTCATTATACACGAGTGTCTTCATACTTCAGAATTTGATCTGTGTGTCAGTCTTGACTTAATACTGTTTCTTTTTTTCACATCAGTTGCTCGACTACTGCCTTTGAGTCTGTAGCAACCAGTAAAGACACACTGACGTGACTAACCAGGCAGTTACAGAAGAAAACCAGTAGGCCCAATAAATACAAGTTTTTCTTTTTCCCCTCTACGTCTGCAAAAGGAAAGGAAAGCTAATATACAAATAGAGAGTGGAAAGAATAGAAGGAACAATCAAATACTCCTTTAGTTAAGCTTCTAGCCTAGCTGTCCATTTGTTTTCATTCCAGGCAAACGTCGTGAAGATAGGAGGAGTTCTGCCCCATTCCAGCAGGAGCAGTCAGGCTGGCACAGAACTTCCTAGCTTCACTACAGAGGCTCTGCTCAGGTTAAACCTATTACCATACAGCTCCCCAGTTCAGACTTCTGCTTAGCAGTGCAGTAACTTAAGAAATTCCTTTGGACGTTGGTCCTTGGTAATCTGTTATATCCAGTCACCAGCTGGCAGGCGTATCAGACACAGTAAGACCTAACTTGTTTTAAAGCCTTGGGGTGCAATTTTCTCCTCAGTTACAAGATTTACACCCATGTAACCAAGGGCAGAAAATGGACTCTCAGGCTCTCTAACAGCTGTTATGGCTTATTGCATTTATGCCTGCCAACTGGTCACCACACACAACACACAATGATGTTGACAGCAATTAAAATGGAGGTCACAAATTTGTTTGTATTGCCTACAAGCAACACTCCACCAAGGTAAATCTCACAAGCTGAAATTCTTTACCCCAAGATACGATTATGCGATTTTTTTTGAGCTATGAGGAACATACAGATATCAGTTTGTCTGGAAGCAGAACTGAGCTTGTGGCAAACATAATGACAAAAATAAAAATCAGAATGAAGATATTACTGACTGTTACCCAGTTAAATTTTTTACTTTTCAAAGAGCACAGAGCATTTTTGCCAGATGCATATGTGAGAAACATGCAAGTAAGTACCCTACTAAAATAGGATACTGAAAAACAGGATACAGAAGTATCTGAAATCCGACTACGGTATGCCTTACCTGTAAGTAACACTAGATTTTTTATTGTGAGGAGAATAAACACATTTACAGGTTACCACATTACCTTCCTAAATCCTTAAGATTAAATCCTTCATAAGCAAGCCATGTAATGAGGAATGCAGGATGTGCACTTCCCTCCAACCTGTGAGCAGCACACTGGATTGTCCCCTTGCAGCTACGGAGCATCTGAATCACCCTACTTGGAGGGTTCTGAACCAATTAAATTGCCAAGGAGAAAACTCAATGGCCTATTCTCATCTTGTTGTTTCAGCTTGTGGGGGTAGCATGAATTTCCTACTGAGGCACAGAAGGAACATTGAAGTTCTTTCTCTCTGTGGCCAGTTTGACCATGTACATCTTGCAGAGATGTAAAGCAGTGCTTTATCCCCCTGTTAGGGGGGCTTTTTCTGGACAGAGAAAATTCATGTCTTCACAGACAATATGCAATACCTTCCAGATACAAACAACAAAGACACAGAATAGGAACGGCTATGACAATATGGCATAAAGAAGCTTGCATTTGTACGCATATTTCATACAACAGCACTGAAATCTATATACGCCTCTTGCTAACATTTCCCACTGCTTTTTAATGCAAATCACTACTACCGGATTTTCATTAGCTGAACTGTTAGTTTTTTTCCCCAGAGGGAACTAGCATGCCTTAAAACACCGTGTATTTCTTGACATTTATAAGATGCTCGTTACACGTAAGCTATTCTTTTGTTGTTTGCCTGAGATTTGGGTGTGATTCTCCAGGGTGGAAACTAAAGCCTACTGTACCTTATCAGGAGGTGGGAATTGGAGCTGATTGACATCCAGGGGTGTGATCAGGGGGATGGTGTCAAATCCATCCTCCAAAAGAGGCTGCTTTGTGCTCTTCTCGCTGAAATTATTCCCCAGTTTCACCATTCTTCCGGGATAGAAGGATTTTCTGCTGGCGCACGCACACAAAAATGCAAAATGTCAGAAACTCGGGATGCACCAGACCTTTCCTCAGCCCCCGAATGAAACGGGGAACCCGAAATATCTTATTGCAAAAAAAACATTACGCATTAAGTCTCTGTGACTCGGTTACGTTTTGGCGTTTGGGAAAGAACGATGGCTAGTGCTTTTATTGTCAAAGTTTTTTTTTTAAAAAAAAAAAAACAAAAC